CTAAATCTAGAACTTCGGACGAGGTAAGACCTTCCCTAATGCGCTGACCTTTTCGTCGACCTTCTCAGTATAATAAGCTTCAACATGCACCTGGGAACAGATTGTTTGGAAACTCCACTGTGATGGCGTTTCATTGTGTAAACGTTATTATATGCTTGTATGTTGTATAGCGTCACTGGTACTATATTTATCTCTTGTTATGGCTCGTGATATATACTATGAAGTCCTGTGCCTAATGGAAGACAAAGTCAGTGCCATCAACGGAACGATACAGAGCGATCTTCTACCAAGGGAACGGACACGTAATGAGTGTTAGAAGCCAACATACTGGACGGAATTATTCTATTACGAAAAGATGGATATACTTGGAGATGTCAGACCAAGGGCTCCAGTGAATCTAAGGAGATTGTATCAGTTAAGACACTTATTTTAGAAATTCACTTATAAAACTCCAAACTTGACTCCATCTGCTGTTTCTTTGGTCGACAGGATTTGGGATTTCTTATACCAGCTTTGAAACTATACCAGACCACGTGATAATCATATGTTACTTCCAGTAAGCGTTCCAAATATACCCTTGGTGGTCGATGGTAAGTCACTGCAGTGAGAAGTTTCAATAGAAAGGCTCAACAAGGCCTAGCTCCACCTTGAGTCAGTGTGTGTCTTTAGCTGCCTCGTCGACACCCGCCTGAGAGCTACTGTTGGCTACTCGGCTACTTTCAAATTGTGGAAAGTGGAGCACTACCATTTAATAAAATGAGTGGGAGACATAAAACGACTTTCAAAATATATTTTTATGTCCATAACACCATGAATCTCAGTGTCGTGACTTCGGTGATCCAAATACCGTTGTGCACATAGAGGTGAAAAAACTGTCGAAGGAATAACTTGACATCAATTGTAGAAGAAATCCATGTAGTGGCATTGTTCTGGCGCATTGCAGTAGATGGCCAGGCAATAAGTTAGACTTCGGCTCTGAATTCCACAAATATTTTTTTTGTTATGTCTACACTCATTCTAATAAAAAAGGTTTTCCACTTTATTCTCCTGTTTGTTACCTATCCATAAAGAGAATTCCATAAAGAGAGTGGTGTCTGATGAACTAGAGTTAATTTGACTTTTTCCTATGACCTACAGCTACCCACCTTTATAGGATCTGTGTTCACTGTGTCCTCCAACTTACAACTTACCTATAGAAGCCTAGGTCAGCTGTAATTCATATGAGTTGCATTTCTCCAAATTCTTTATATTACATTTGTATGTTGTTATGTATAAATGAAACTATGTTCAAGTGCTTTATATTTAAAATAACCAGGTTTTATGTTGAGACTTAATGATCCATTTAATGTATTCACATAATGTAATGTTAATTGTTCTTAACATTAAAATGAAGTGTACAGTACACTTTGTAATATTTTTCAAGACAAGTGTCTCATAAGTAGAGTGTAAGCCTACATAAAAATGGTGAATGAAAAATTAATTGTGAACATTTTGACTAAAAAATATATGGCTTTAGATGCATGTAAAGGGCAGGGGTGTATCTTTTATAGTATTCTTGGGAGTTGCCAAGATAAGTGGCATCTACTAAGAAACAAAATTATTTTCTGTCACATGGCTGGCACTTCCATATGATTACCATTCGCTATGTTTTCTTTGCTTTTGTCTACTGGTAAATAAAGACAGACATGGCCAGTTCTAAACAAATTTAAAGCTTAATTTCACTGGATTCAAACCTACAATAGCAGAATCCAAAAGATGAAATGAAAGCAACCATTTATACTATGCCAAAATATCCCACCGCAAGTGCTCATTCTGAGATCAGTTCCTTAGCCACCGCTTTTAGTCTCAGGGGCTTGGAAATTATCAATAATATCAATAATTGTCGGGTGTCCTTACTGGGTAAAGATTTCCTGCTTTGTTATCACTTTCGTTGTTTACCCTTTCGTTGAGAGACGTTTCTTGAAGTCTTCTGTCACTTTCCGCAGCATATCACTAAAGCGAAAGACTAGTCCGGGGAAGTAATACAGGAGACCAATGCCAAATCGCATAAGCCAGTACTTGACATTGCTAATGAAGGACATTCGGCTGACGAAGTTGGGTATGTCGAGATCGAGGACATATGCCACGTAACGAAAGCCAGATTCGAACGAGAGTGTGTGCATGAGGTGGCTCAACCCCGTGACGAGGGAGAGGGTCATGTGCTCGTAATTCCAGTCCACCTTCGCCAGCGCCGGGATGCCAACCAGCCTCTCAACCTCCAGGCACAGTGAGCGCACTTCGGCCAAGGAGCCTCGGCAGAAGTTGTATTTGTCGTCTATGCCGAGAAGCCAGCCCAGTCCTCGCCAGAAGTGGACGAGGCCCTCCAGATCCTCGTCCGTGGCTGCTCCGGCACCCATCTTGTGCGGGTGGGCCACCACCAAGCCCATGAACTGGTACTGCGTCAGACTCATGTCCCACTGGCTGATGAAGAAGGGGGGGTTGTCTGGCCCCTCGAGCGAGAGGCCTTCCCCGGTCTGGTCCTTGAGGTCCTCGCGGATGGTGTGGTAGAAGGGGCAGGCAGGCTCTTGGTGGCCCTTGTCGTGGATGCTTGTGTTCCACACTTTGTCGTGCTCCGCTGAAGAGTTGAAGACGCCAGACAGCCTGTTGTGTATGGCTCGCACCGACAGCAGGTCCTTGTGGGCGCGGTCGGTGGCGTC